TCTAAAAGGATACCACCTTAAGGCCAGCAGAAACTTACTGATGCTTTTTCAGAGGGCAGACTTAGATGTAATGTGTTGGTAGCTGTTGGCTAAATATAAGGAGAAACATCTTAATGGTAAGAGCAGTTTGACAATTGAACTGGTTACCCAGGAAAATAGTAGATTTTCCTTCACTGAGGGTTTTCAAGCAAGAACTAGACAGGTATCTGCAGGGGAGGCCCAGACATTAAATTTCCTTCGTTGACCACAGGTCTGAATTTACTGACCTGTAAAACTTTCCCTCCAGTTCTTTAGGATTGTATGATTTTAGGGTTCTCTCCACAGTGACATAAAATGACAGAGCTCTTGCATTTACTGACAGCAGGGCAGGTCAATTTGGCTGAGTGGACTTGAGGCCAAATTCCACCCAGACACACCATGAGGACACATCATGGGACACTGCTCTGCTATCAGAGCTCATCAGCAAATTGGAAGAAGACATTAATATAAGCAGGTATTAGGCAGAGCAGGCATGTTGAAATCAGAGGCTAGGTTACCAGAGGAATTCCTGCCTCGTAGATTCTCACAGTTGTAGCCTTCAACTTGCTGCCAATGCAGGAAGTCAGAAGACAACATATTCCTGACATATTGCCACCCAACCTCTCTTTAAAACACTCCAACAAAGAAGTGTCCAGCACCTTCTGAGGAAGTCAATTATGTTGCTGAACCACTCTTAACACTATGACGTTCCTCCTCCTACATTTTAACTGAAATCTCTTTTCTTATCTCTGGAGTCAACTCATCGAGGTCTTACTCTCTGAAGCAATGGAAAGCAAACTTGATTTATCATCCACGTGACATCCTGTAGATATTTGGGAAAGGCTATCATATCACTTCGCTGTCCTTCTCTTGGTCTTTTTCATGACCAAACTTTTACTATATATGCAAAGAAGAATGAATAGAACAACCATCACTTCAACAACCTCCTTAGCATTATTCTCGCTCTGTTCCCAAATACTGTACACAATTTATGCTACTGTCAAGCATAGTGAAATGTTCCTTTTGCCCCCTTCTTACCAGCCTATTTTTCTTTCTACACTTCTTCTGGGTGTCATTCTCCCCCTTCTACTCTGTCCTCAGTCATTTTCTTCCTCCTTAGACATTTTCCAGTTCAGCATCTTTTTGCTTTCTTGCCTCTTATCTGACCTTTTTCTGTTCTGTGGTCTGTTCTTGTATGAGGTGCCAGCCAAACCAACGGTTCCTCCTCCCCCTCAAAAGCTGGGGTGCAAACCGATTGGTTTCATAAACACACTGCATCTTACCACATCAATTCATCTATCAGAAATTTCAGAGACACAGCACAAAACTGGGGTCAGCATGTCTTTGTGTCCTCTAGAAGGCATGGGAGTGCAATTCTCTAAATAAATTCAATATGATACATTCAAAAACCTTTGGTTTAAATAAGGAGTTTTCAACTGTCCCACTTTTCTACACCACAGATAAATAGCAAAACTGGGTGTGTGTGTACAGTGGTGCCTCGCAGGACAAAAAACTCGCAAGACAAATGGTTTTGGCAAAGGGGTTGATGACTCACAAGACAAATGTTCCTATGGCCGTGCTTCGCAAGAAGGTTTTTCGTTTTTTGTTCCTGCCTCATGTTTGCTGATTTTTAAATTTTTTCTATGATGTTTAAAAAGTTACAGTTTTTGATTGAAATTTTTGAAATCATCTGCACAATATGTATGGCTTTAAAGAGCACTTAATTAACTCTTTGTAAACCAAATTTGACTTTGTTCTGACTTTTTTGCCAATAGGAATGCATTAATTAGATTTCAATGCATTCCTATGGGAAAACGCATTTCGCAAGACAAATTTTTTGCAAGGCAACATTAACCGCGGATCGAATTAAATTTGTCTTGCGAGGCACCACTGTATTTTAGGTATAAGGGAAATAAACAGCCTAGAAAATTCCATCAGAGCAATTATATGTCATTATGTAGTGTTAATCTAGCAGTTTTGGATATTTAAACAACAAAGATGTGACTACTAGCCAATGGGCTCCAAGATGTTCATTAGTGATGACAATGATTTCCACTGCCACATTTTTACTCTGATGCCCTTAAAAATTGAAAGGGAATTCTCATACACCCACTTAAAAACTTAAAATATATTTTAAGTGGACAAAGACAAATATGAGAATGATTTTTTAAAGTGCTTCTATGCGACCTCCAGAGGTCTGGGTGGCCCACATATGCCCATCCCAAGTGCTCGGAGGACTGCTCCCACTCTCACAACCTCCATGCCATTTTTTCTTTCTAATAAAAATGTGACAGGTATTAAAAAGCCCTCTCATATCACAGAATTTAATGAAAAATAGAAGTTGGGGTAGCTATAGGCAGAGGTGTTGGCTAGTCTTTGGGTCTGAGTCCAAGTCTTTGGTGCCAACTCCTGAGTCCCAAGACCCAAGGCCAAGTCCCTACTAAAAACAAGCTTTTTTCCCCCAAGAAAAAGAGGGAGGGGTGGGTGGATTCTGAATTGCAAGTCAAGTCCAAGTCGAATCACTGGTGTTACTTAAGTCCAACCTGAGAGCGAGTCCTGCAACTCAGCTCCCCATCCCTGGCAATTCAGCAGCAATGTTGCCATCCCCTGAGAACATGGCAAACTCCCATGGCCCCTAGAGGACACAAAGACATGTTGACCTGAGTTTTTTTAAAAAATTAAAAAAATGGGGCAGGGGTATTTGGGAGGCACATGTTGTAAACCTCTAAAATTGCTATTACAGAGCCATTGATCATCAGATTTCTCAGAGGTTCATCGACCTTTATAAAGTAGACCAACTTTATACTAATAATAACAACTGGTTTCATGTTAAATAGAAGTTTTGGGGGGGAAAACGAGCTGCATTAAACAATAGCCTCAGAAATGACTCCCTTAATAGCTTTTAAGCAAGAGCTGCTCAAAGCTTTAATGCCTGATCACTTGCAGAGAGTTCTATGTACCCTGTTTCTCCAAAAATAAGACCTAATCTGAAAATAAGCCTTAGTATGATTTTTCAGGATGCTCATAATATAAGCCCTACCCCCAAAATAAGCCCTAGTTAAGTGAAACCCCACCCTCCACCATTGGGCAGCATTGGGCAGCAACCAGAAGATGACATGACTGTATTTAAATATATGCAGATTGTTGTACATGAAAAAAAAATAAAGCATCCCCTGAAAATAAGCCCTAATGCATCTTTTGGAGCAAAAATTAATATAAGACCCTATCTTATTTTGGGGGAAACAGGGAAAGGGTAGCTATGTAGATGGTTCATGCAGGTGAATGAAATTCAGGATGTGTATCTTTAAATTCAGGGAGATGGGAAAGATAAGCCATTTCTCTCACCAGGTGGCCAAAGGAGAGCAAGTAGATTGATCTCAGGAGCAAATAACCATCAGCAGCCTCATCTGCTTGCCACTGCAGAAATTGCCACACAGCTGTCCGGGCCTCTTCTGTCATTGTAGTATCAGATACAAACACAGTTGAAAGAAACAAGAAGATTTTAGGAAACAGCTTGATTATTTTATGACATAGGTACGAGTGGTACAGAGTTTGGAAATGTTAGTGTTAATTGGAAGCAGCTCACCTTAAACTGTACCTATAAGCAATAATATTAATGGGATAATGCTAGTACATTCTAGATCCTTAAAGTAACTGCGTACATTACTAATATATTATTTTAAACTTTTAGCATTTTATTTCTTAAAATGCTTTATGTCTCCACTGCCCACACTGATACATACAAACATACACATCATCAGAAGAGGTACCTTTTTTCATTTTGTTTCTCCCCACCCCTTTTAAAACCAAAAAGCCAGATTCTATAAAAACTAATAGTACTCTTGGGAGCAACACGTGTAAAATGCCTATGCGTGAAAAAAAGTCCAGATTTCTGCTAAAAAAGAGCAACCTGGGTCCATTAACCCTGTGAACACTGAGTAGCCTGGAATGGGGGCTTCAGGTCAAATTTATTTTATTTTATTTTATTTATACTCCACCCATCTGGCCTAAAAGACCACTCTAGGCGGCTTCCAGTATAAAGAAGAGGCAGCTTAAAGAAGAGGCAGTCTAAGATCAAGTTCACCTGCAGACGTCCTGTTCAGTTTCTTCTTCATTTCTTTCACCAAGAACTTCGAAGTCTCACTCGCTAAGAGTTGCATATTTGGGAAACAGATATTGCTATCCGAATGATCCCAGGCCTAAAAAAATACATTTTAAAAGTGTTCAATTAATGCATTGGATTTCTTTCTATGATATATATTACCACCACCATATAACTGTCCCCTTGTAAGAACCAAGACAAAGTTTGAGGTACTAGCCCCTGACAGGGTGCCAAAAACACATGGATAGGCATGGGTCAAGGATGAGTTCATGATGGCTTGTACATTATGTTGTCACCAGGAAAAAAGAGTGAACCAGCCTGTTCCCTGAATGAAACAAACTGTGGGACAAACTCATCTAGTTGCACAATAGGCTAAAGAAGATGGTAAAGTGGGAACACTGCCTTACCACAGTAATCAACTGCTTCCCTTTGAGTCTGATTCATTGTGAAAATATGGGGACCCACCTGACAAGGGAGAAGGGGGCATACACTTCAGTTTTTAATAGTAAGGGGGATCATTATATGCCAGTCACAAGAGTTATTATGTTAGATAACAGTCACCAGGCTTCCAAATCTGAAATGTCTTTTTGTTTCCAAATATTTGTATACACCATTCTGACATTCACTAAGATGTTAAAGATGGCTGGATAGCTCAATGAATCCCCACTGTGCCTCCTGAAAGAAGAGCCAGTCTTGGGCAAATTGCACAATCCCAGGATGCCCCCTGGGTAAACCACTTCTGAGTATTTTCTACTTGGAAAACCCTGAAAAGGGTCACCATTGCTCAGAACGGACTTGACAACACAGGAAGCAACAGTAGCAACAAGAAAGACTAACAGCTTAAACAAGAACATGTTTATTACCATATATGTGGACATGTGTTTGTGGATAAAAGCTTGATATATCATAGGCATAAAAGTTCATACCATGCACAATAAATGTTAACCTTGATGAAGCTGCAGAACTCCTTGTGTGTTTTAACATGGCTATGCAACTGCTCCTTGTTTACTGTTAATAACCCTTTTTTCTCTCCTTTTGCTTTGCACTGATCATTCTTGTAATACTTCTCTTTGTCCCTACATGCAAGTTTCTTAAAAGCTGCATTTGGGGTCTTGACCCTATTTCTGTCCATTTTTTAATTTTGCTTCACATTGACTGTTAATAATTTTAGAAGTTTCCTTGATCATCCATCAGTGCTTTTCTTTTCTTCCAGTTGTTTCCGATTATGCTCAGTGGTGTTCAGTAATGCAAACCTACAACTAAATTTAAAATTACTGACTTTACATTATGCAAGAATGTTATTCAAATTACATTTTGGGATGATTATTTTCCTTGGTTTTATCCCAAATTTCTGACCTCAGCATTTCACGGTCCTGCTTCTTGTCTTCTTTTGGCAGAAATAATGCAGCTTTTCCATCTTCATTATCCAGTTATGTAATCTGTTTGTATTT